TCCGCCCCCACCACGGATATACCACTTTGCATTCAATATTATTAGAGTAAGTGTACAGTGCTGTAATTTTATTAGTAGATTTACAAACACCGGATAGGTATTCTTATAAGATTCTAAGAATAAGAAAAATATTAATTTGTAAAACTAACAATTGGCACACTACTAAACAAAAGGCTTTTCGTTTTTACTGATTATCTACTAGCATTAACTAAGTTCTTAAAATGAAAAATTCTACTTTATTTTTAAAAGTGATGTACATTTGATTAGAAAATTCATTTATGGTAAATTAAACGTGATTTACTATAACCTTGCAAGAGGTCTCAGTTTAACCACTTTCCTTAGGGCATTCAAAGGTTTAGAGTTAAACTATGCTCCCCAGTTTCCTCCATTCTTCTTTGCTGAGCTCTTTTCTGTGTGTCAAAGTTTCATAAATGATTTCAGCATAAACATGTTAGTCCACTTTGTTTAAAGTCTGCACTTTTACCCATATTCTGGGTTTGTAATCAAGGGTTTAATGTGATTTCCAGGATGGACAACAATCCTCAATTTAAAATGCATACCATAGGATTTGCATGATAAAAGGGAATCTTTAAAGGCAGGAGCAGGTCAAATATTAAACTAAGAAATAACAGTAGTAACAGTAACAGCTATTAATCACAAGGTAGAGTCTATTCTGGTACAATATATATACCCACTCATTAGATAATCACAAACACTGTGTGAAGCATGTACTATTATAACCTCAACTTTATACACACAAACTGAGGCACAAAGGAATTTAATAACTTCCTCAAAGTCACAGAACTAGTAGGTACTAGAGCCAAGATTCAAACCAGGACAGGCTGACCTGAGTCCACTCTCTTAACCACTTTTCTGTGTTGCCTCACACTTACCTGAGCAAAACATATATTAAGCATTTTAAATATATTCTAGTTTTTTTCTGACTATCATAATCTAAAGGTCCTGAGTATATAATGATTTTTTTAATCTCAGTGCCCTTGAATATCTAGTCTATGTGTCCTAGCAATAAGACAGGAAAAACAATTTAGAAACTGATAACATGGTAACTCAGAATCTGAGCTCCTGCTAAAAGAATATCTTAAGATTTTCTAAATTGTTCTGTCAATAGAATGAAGCAATAAGCCAAAAACTGGCCAGAAAACACATACTGGGGGAAAAATGAAAGGTAATAAGGTCCCATTTAATCCAGTGGTTAGACTGGACCTAGAAATTAAAAATATATGAAGACTACAAAGCTGTCACATGAACAAAAATGAAAACTGCAGCCAGGCATGGTGGCTCACACCTGTAATCTCCGCACTTTGGGAAGCTGAGGTGGGATGATCGCTTAAGGCCAGGAGTTTGAGGTTACGGCAAGCTATGAACTATGATCATGCTACTGCACTCCAGCCTGGGCAACAGAGCAAGACCTCATCTCTTAAAAAAAAAAAAAACCGGGAAAATGAAACTTACTAGACTGTACTTTACAAATGTGATCAGCTGATGTCTCAAACTAAAGGTAATCTCACTGAAGGGAATGGCTACAGACAAGGCACACCACAAATAGAGTCAAAATTAAATAGTATAGGAGAAACAAGAAAAGGCACACACACAAAACCAAAAAAGGATTTTTTTTTAACTGAGAAGAAAGCAAATGGCAAAAAGTACAGGGGTAAAGAACAGAAGCAGAGATAAAACCATAGGGAAAGGAAGCAACAAATTCTGAAGATGGAGAATAAAGGCAACAAGGAGAAACAACGATCATCGGCACTCAGACAAGTTCTGTAGAGTGGGGTGATGGTAGGAGGCAAGGGAGCATGCATCCTGGGAAAAGGCATTCAAATTCCTACTCACTCTGGTAGCCTCTGAGGGGTCACTCTATTTCTAGTAATGCTCCACTAAAGATAAGCCATATGGTAGAGCACAGCAGTCTGTGGAGGCATTTAAAGTTAAGCCTTAATATACTAAGGCAGCAGAACAGAGCTATGTTTCACAAAATTAGCCTATGAAATGAATTCTACATTCCCTATATGAAAAGCAAAGGAAAAGAAACATGAGAACCTTGTTTGCTAAAAGTCATGCCCTAAAAAACATGAATGGGGAAAATATGTGATAAGATTACTGCTTCATCCACATTATGATACAGATGAAAAAAAAAAAGTTGGCAAAATTTTTGCAGATTCTGGATCAAATAAACTTTTAAATTGTATGCAACACACAAGCAGCCTAAATTACTTACTATATCCGTAAAAGGTGGTTTTTTCACACTGAAAATATCACAGTTAACATTTATTTCTTAGACCTAACTGAAAGGAATTTATGAGCAAATGAAGTTGAGATGAGCTATACATATTTTCTGACAGGTGACAATGTTCCATATATAGGCCAGTATATAGCTAAATCTGGTATGTTTTAAAAAACAATAATAAAAACAAATACTATGATGCTAAATAACTTTTTTAGCTATTAGAAGTAAATCATTCCTGGACAAAGTCTATCCCCTGCACAATTTTAGTAATAGTCATTATGAAATTGGTCTAGTTTAACAATGCCTATAAAATTCTATACTAGCAAATGCTAGAGGATCAGGTACTCCCAGATTAAAAATGTCAAATATTCTCCTAAATTCTAATGGTACAAGATCCTAATACAAAAGTGGAGATAATTAGAAAATTTTATCATCCTTGAATTTTTAACAGAATCATATTTTTTTCTGTTGGTTAAGAAACAGAAGATATAAAGAATTTAACATAGAAGAATTATGTTTATTTTTCTTGTTTGGGTCTTATATTTGTAATAACAGATTATTCGGAACAATAGGTCTGAGGAAAGGAAAATGACTTTGTTTGCTAGACAAGCACAGAACTCTTCGGGATGATGCCTGATGATATTCCCACTATTGTCTTGACTACCAGTGTTATCTCACTGAGTTGGAATATATGAAAATAAACTCGGATATTCAGAAAGAATTCAGAAGAAAGTTAATGAGAAAGTGAAATGCACAAGAATAGCATACCCTTACAAGAAATCAAATACGTGATTTATAATGCTTTCACTATAAGCTAAAACTTTCAATATTGAGGCTTTGTATAAAACTGGACACTACATTCCTATCTGTAGAACTATCTGGTGATGACAAGCTTGTGATGACAAAGTACTGACACAATTTGGGCCAAGTCTGAAATCGCATAAATTCTTAAAACAGAGAGGCATGTAACTTGTTCATATGAGTGACATATCCCCCTGTAATAAACAGCAGATAGGAGGATAAATTAGAACTGGGTGTGGTCATACAAAGTATATTATGGAAACAGAAATAGTACATAGAATGTTGAATCCTTGTCTGAATAGATTCTCAAAATGACAGTGAAGATGATTTTCAGGACGGCAAGAAAATCATTTGGACGAAAGCTAGCCCCGTAGCAGAAGGGCGGCTATTATGTGGTTCTGGAGTTGTACATGTAGGCTGAAAAGCAGAGAGGTTAAGAGTATACACTCAGAGATGTCTGCCTGAGTGTACATCCTGGCTCTGTCCCTCAAAATTCTCTATGAATGAAATAATGAAATGGTTATCACAATAATCAAGACAAGACTAGCCTGCTTGTGGAGATGAGCAAGTTATTTAATCCCTTTCTGTCTCAGTTTCCTCTTCTATAATTGAGGACTCAATTATAATAATATAATAACTATAATAATACTCATCTCACAAGGCTACTGAAAGGACTCCCCATCCACAGCAAGTGTACATTAAGAATTCTTTTCAAGAAAGAAGTTCCATGGAATACTTCCAGGGTCAGTAGCCATGGAACACTAGTGCTGTCTGTACTTAGAGCAAAAAGTTTTATTTGAAGCAAAGTAAAATAATGGAACAGCATGAATTTCTAGACCACCAAGAAAAGATTACAGTACATATTATATTTTTGAAAGTTTCCATCACAAGTAGTTAAAAAAAAGTCAGTGTTGTAAAATGCTAAGTTTCAATTTTGGGGGCATTTATCTAGAAAAAGGTAATCTTCAAAAGAACAAAAGAAGATATTGCTCTACATGTTGGGCATTTAAAAATCTGAAATAAATTAAATGTTCCATAGTAAAATAAACCATAGTATGGGTTTTCTTTTAGAAAACAAATTAAAAATGGGGAATACCAGGTAATGCATATAATACATGAATTCTGAACTCTTTCCCAAAGAAGCTTATATTGAGAATTGCCAGCAAAACCCTTCGATTTTATCCATAATGCAGTCTTTTATCAGGGACCCAGAAAGATACACTACTCTGCATTTTCAAATAGGGATAATAAGGGGAGTAAGTTTTCCATAAAGGAAATAAAACGTTTGTATTCTTTTTTGTCAAGGTTATCATTTCCCTAATGCCCACTAATATCTACTGTAACTTAAATTTTCATAGTGTTCATCTCCTTATATTCTATGATCCTAAAAGCAAAATTAGAGGTACTATATCATCTAAAGCACAGCATATCACAATAAAGTCTTATATTACTTTAGGAAAAGTATTTTGGCAATAATTTTCTTTTTACTGATGAGCAAAATATATCTAAATGCTACAGAATTGAAATAGTATTCATCTGAAAAGGGAATAAAATGAATACCTTACCTATCTACAGCAACAACAACACTTTGAGAACTGGTTTCTCCAATGGATTCCTGAATACTTGCTATCTGCTTCCAGTCCACATTTCCTCCAACTACCACACATAAAAGAGAGTCATTTCAGTTTGAAAACAATTCAGTGGAACAATACACTTATAGTTCTACAACACATTTCTGAAATCAATTACTTTCCTAATAAAAGAAGTAAGGCTTTGGGTAAACAATTCTTCTGGTATCAGTGACATTTATCAAGGCCAAATATGCTTAATGGACTATACTAAGCAGTATACAACAGATGGTTACCAGACACGAACTGTGTTTGCAAAGATCACACAAATTAGGGGCATTGTGAATTTAGATCATAAAATTAATGACATTAGACTTAATTTCCCTTTATGTTTAAGAAACACAGCACTACCCTAGTTCCTGTGATACCCTCTGAGGATAATTCCAGCTCCATATAATTAGACTTCCCCTGTCATTTAATCTCTAGTCCCCTGTTTACAAATGTTACTTGAAAATTCTACCTGTATATTCTAACATCCTCGTTTTCAAAAGAATCATATATCTTTTCCCATGAAACTGGTTCCATATGTTGGACAGTGGAACAATAATGTCCCCAGTTTTCAAAGTCTTAACCTTAGAATCATCTTTGGTATCTTCCCTCTCCTCCACCAATATTGAACTAGTCCCTAAACCTTTTTTTTTTTAATCTCTTTTTCATATCATTTATTCATTTTCATTCCTACTTAGTTTAGGCCCTCATCATTTCAGTCCCAGATTACTGAAAGAATTTCCTGACTCATTTGCCTGCCACTAATTATTCCCTTCTTCAATCTCTCTTTCATTCTCCTGCCAGATTAATTTTCCTAAACCATCACCTTCATTTTGCTTATTATACTTATAGGATAAAGTATAAACTCTTCGGCCTAGAATATAAGGCACTTCCCTTCAACATTCTAGCCAAAAGGTACCATCCCTCAGCTATCTAAAACTTACCTACTTATCAAACCCAATTTCAGTTCTCAATGAAGGGATTCTTCTCTATTATTCTCATCTTCCTCTGCACTAAGCACTTACTTAACTAAGTATTATTCAAATCAGAATTACTTCCATACAGTATCACATATATTATGAATATTTTAGGTGTATCAATGTTGCCTGCTTGACCAGATAAACAGTTCCCTAAGGTTATGAATAAAGTCATATACATTTTTTTACTTTCCCACCTTATTCAATACTAAATAAATACAAAGCAGGTGCTCTATAAACACTGTTGACCCAATTTACCAAACACTCAGTGCCTTTCCGAATGTAAACATAACAGGTGATGTCATTTAAACTAGTTGAACTCAAATTCTATTCTAAGAACTCAACAAGGTAAAAAAGATGCGATCCCTCTCCTCACTGAATTAATAATTTACCAAGAGAGACAGACATGTTTACAACAAACTTTAATACAAGGTAATGATTACTTCAGGAGTGAAATGAACTAATTACACAGAATATAAGTTTGCTAAATAGAACTAATTTTGATAGGGACAAAGAGAAGAGGGGTGTTAGCTCATGGAAAGGTTTCTCACATGATAAAATATTAATTCAAGCTGGACCTTGAAGGATGACTGTGTGGAAAAGGAAGCAGAAAGAAAAGCAATTCAGACAGAAGGGGCAGCTATTTAAAGTAATGGAAACATGCAAGCGTACATCATATTTTAACATACTTGGGTGTAGCCATAATGAAGGATTTAGTGGGGACAGAAAAGAAGGGAGAGAACAAAAAGTAGTAGGAGATAAAGCTGGAAAGACAGATTGGAAAAATAATGTGAAGAACCCTGACTCCCATGTTTAATATACTATGTTTGAAAACAGGGAACCATTAGATCTTTTAGAAGATTGACATGATCCAATCTATTTTCTAAAAAATAACTCTGGTAGTACCTGGACTACATATTGAAATAGGAAGATATACTGGAGTCAGGGAGATAAATTAAGAGCCTAGTTCTACAGCACAAGTGAGCAAGAATGAAAACCTGAAGTAAGTGACCAAGAACTGGGGTGGCAGGGCAATAGTGTCAAGGCACACTTGAAATGTATTATACTGTGTGTTGTAAGAATTTAATGAAGAACAAAACCTATGGAAAAAAATAATGTCAATCATCACACAGCTTCCTTTGCGTATCAACTGGATGTCCTTTCCACAGGGCCTTCTATAGCTTTTATA